AGGATGGCTTCACTCGAGGAACCAGCCTGCAACAATAATCATACCCCCACATTGGTTTCAGCTCCGAAATCACCCAGCCCCAATGCAAGCTGAAAGCTCTGATCTACTGATCCCAGGAATTCCCTCCTTTGAAAATCAAGGAAGGCAATTAACTACTYTAAAAAATCACCAAAGGAGGTGGAAAAGCCTTTATTTGCACAAAGAAATCTATTTGTCACATCAAATGCATCTTGGAGTGTCAGCAGTCCAAACTATACCTCAACACTCACTTTCAACTTCCAAACCCAAGTAGAAGAGGCCACAGCTAAATGCCAGGGTACTTCTGCAGCCCAGAGAATTCCAGATGTTGGCATTTGGAAGATTATCTTGAAATATTCATTTGTCACATCAATGGGGAATGCCACATGGACTGTTTTACACATAGAAAAGCCACATTGAGGGGTTGGATCACCAGTTACCTGGGCTGGGAAAGAGTGGAGCAGATCTTGGACAGTCACCTCATAGCAAGGAGACCCAAAAGTCCCATGCTGTGACCACTGATTCTTCAGGAAGAAAATCCACCTCTGTCCTGACACTAACAGGACACCAATTCCTATATCTCTAGCAGCAGCAGCTTTTACATTCTAAGACCTTTCTATCAGAGCCAGCCTCAGAAAACCTTTTCTTGCCAAAACATCACCTCCATACCCAACAGTTCCAGCAGCAGCAGCTCTCAGAGCTGATTCCAGAGGATGATGAATGCTAATTACCTCACTCTGGGACTCTTCACTAACACTCCACGTCTCCAGTGTCACCTATCAACAGCTTTGTTGTGACACACTCATCCTGCACTCCATAATTAGCGCTTTCAACACTTGAGCATCAAACATTCCAGCCAGAACTCCCCAGCAACAGACACGGGGACTCAGAGCCGAATCCTTACCGAAATGTTCCACATCATTTTGATAGCTAAGGGAAAAGCCCCTTTCGGTTGGTGTTTCACCACAGACTCCTCTTCATCCTGCTGGGAAGCTGAGGCATGGTCCTGCTGCACGGCTGGGAGCCTGCTGCTGTCTGCATGATCACGAGGACGGGGAGCAAAGGGAATAGCTGCTTCATACACAGCAGCACTACAGCCCTTCCCGATGGGCTGCCCGATGAGATATTCCTCCAGCTTGAAGCCCTGCCAGCGCAAGGAGCTCARGGGATCTTTCTGAGGCTTGTTCTTCCCAACGAACACAGTCTGAAAGGAGTAAGAACAGAAAAACCCACTCAGTTATTCCAGACTTGCCAGCAAAGGAGAACTTGGTGTTTTTGTGGTTTTACACGTTCCCGTGGGTTGGTCCAACCTGAAAACCTCAATCAGGTTCCAATCACTAGGCTCAAATCAGTATAGCCACATGGAAGATAATTTGCAGGCCATGTATTTTTGTCTGATACAATCTATCCCTAAACCAGTCTTTTCCAGAGATGCCCTTTCTGAGAGAAGAAGAGGAACCATGAGGGGGAGTAATTTGTCCATCTAGAATATAAATATATTTTGCCCAGAGAAGCTGTGGCTGCCCCATTCCTGTCCAAATGTCCAAGGCCAGGCTGGACAGAGATTGGAACAACCTGGGRTAGCAGAAGGTGTCCCTGCCCATGGCAGGGGGTGCAAGGAGAATGGGCCTTAAGGCCCCTTCCAGCTCAAACCATTCCAKGATTCTGTGGTCACRTAAAAAAAAGTTTAACTGAATACCTCTAAAAAAAGTTGCATTATTACACTTTTCTCCCCCTCCATAAATAAATCAGACAAACAGCATYTAAAAGAAAATCCAATTAAAAGCAGTTAACAGGAAAAACAGTGCCCTTTTGTGGCAGTCAACTGAGGGCTGGTTAGTTTGTGGAAGAGCAAATCCGTGATGGGAGGGAGCTAGGGGAGGAAATAAAGAGATGTGGGAAAACAACACACAGRAGGCCGTTCTGGAGTTCCATCACAGCTCATCATTCTGCAGGTCTGGTGGTGCCCCAGCTGTCACCTGGACTGACATAAACCAGTGGCCTTCTCTGAGAGCTGCAGCCCCAAAGCACCAGTGACCACCCTCGGGATGTCATGGGGCCACCGGACACAGACCCAGGGACAGCAAATGGAATTATCCAGCCAGAGCAGGGGAGAGAAAGCATCCTGAGAAACTTCAGGGAATGTGTCTGCTGGTCARTGGAGCAGGTGACAGCTGGCTCTGAGCACCCAAGGTCTATTTTTACCCAGGAAATATGTTCAGCGCCATCTGTCCCCATGCCCTGCCAGCATGGCCAGGCCCAGCACCGCGGGGTCCCCGTCTGTCTCGGGCAGAGAGAATGGATCAGTGACCTGGGACATGAGAACCCCCTCACCAGGGCCCCAATCCCCTCCCTCTGTGGGGGACAGGGACTGAGGGTCCCCCTGCTGCCTACTTTAGGGTGATGAGGGGCTGCTGAGTGGGAGGCCTCCCCAGGGAGGCCTTTTTTTTTGGGAGAAAGAGGTGCCTGTGGGGTGCTCCCATCAGTCCCCATCTTTGGGGCTGTGCCTGAGGGCTGCTCATTGCAGCAGCCCCCACCTTCCTTGGGGACAGACGGGAAAGTGTCTGGGGGGCTTCTCACAGTGTGCCCTTCACAGGGGCTGTCAAAGGGCCTCCCCACACCAGTGCTCCCCCTTTCCTTCATGAGGGCTGTCTGAGGGGCTCCCTAAAACAAATCTCTCTCCTCCCCTTCACCAAGGGTGTCTGGGGGGCTGCCCACAGCAGTGACCCCTCCTCCCCTTAAGAGGAGGCGTCTGAGGGAGTCTCCACAGCAACAATCCCCCCTCCCTTTTATTGATGATGTCTAAAGGGTTCTCCAGAGCAACGACCCCACACTGCCCTTAATGGGAGCGTCTGAGGGACTTCCCAAAGCATGGACCCTCCCCTTCCCTGCATGGGTGTCCAAGTGGCTCCGCACAGCACTAACCCTCTCTGACCTTCACGGGGAGATATTTAAGGGGCTCCCCACATCAAAGACCCCTCTCTCTTTCAAAAAGGATGTTTGGAGGGCTACGCAGAGCAAGGAACCCCTGTGCCCTCCATGGCGGGTGACTGAGGGTCTCCCCCCAGCAAGGCCTTCCCCCCCAGCGCCTCAGGCTCTGCCCAGCGGGATCCCCGGGCCGCTCCTCACCTGGATGTGGCGACACGCCGCCTCAGCCCGGCGCTGCTCTTCCAGGCGCGGCTCCACCAGGCCCAGCGCCATGGCCAACGCCAGGCAGACGCCGCCGCCGCGGCCCCGCCGCGCAACCGCCGCCAGCCCGGCCGCCGGGCCGCG